TAGATATGTGGGGGTGTGTTAGAACGAGCCGTTTTAGGGGGGCGTGGCAGAGTCTTAACTTTGATAAAGAATATCTCTTTGGATTTGAGACTTTAGTCTTTGCAACTTCAGGGATCTTATCTATGCACAATCAGCTTGTAACACTCCAAAGAGAAAGTAAAACTTGAAATCACATCATATGACCCCTTTAAAATAATGACATAATCTTAATGGTCCTACAATCGACTTCACTCTCACGTTCTTATTTATTTTTCATGTTGGTTTAAAATGCATCTTGTGAGATTGACCCAGAATACTGGCCTTTTAATTTTCACTTTACTATGTAAAGCACTTTGAATTACAGCTGTGCATGAAACGAACTATACAAATAAGCTTGCCTTTCCTTTCTGAATGCAGGCTTCACTCGATGGCTGCACGGCGGGATGTAAAAGCCCTTTGACAAACCTGCACCTCATCTGAGCTCTGAGCATTTCACACTGCTGACCAGCGGCATTATGTTTTATAGATGTTCACCGGGAGCATTAGAGGGATTTGAGCGGGGAATGACTATATTTATCAGCAGTGGCGATAAGTCATAAAGACGCAGCGCTGTGCCATTTTGTGGCTGAATGAGAAAAATTGGTGTAGCGTGAGGCCACCGGTGGCGACAGTAGGATAATTCCACTGCTGACGAAGTCACTTCCACATCCAGATGGAGACTCGGGCTGCCGGCACAGGACTCCCAGCATGCATCGTTCACATGGTACGGCGATTTCTGTGCACAATGCTACAATTTTACACAAAAAAAAGGCTCCTTAGCTAATGTTGAGAATGAGGTTTGCCATCTGGTTACTGGCGGGAAAGGAAGGGTGAACAAAGCCTAATCTAGCACCCGCTGTGTAGGTTTTTGTAAATGCCAAGTCCGCACAATCCCATACGTCAAAGCATTGCTTAAACTCCGTGACAATGCTTTTCTTCAGACAAAAACGACAAAATCAGGCTAGTGAGATGCTTTCACAGTATGTGACACCCAGAAGACAAATGAGTTTTGATCTTTCTGAGAAAAACAGCTGGCATTAGGGCTGAGTGATATATTTGTGACTGTTATGCTGTCAATATTAAAATATACCAATATTGTAAATATTGTGACCAGTACGTTAAGTGTCTTTAGACTAGTTTCACAAAAAAATGTCACTCATAATCAAATAATCAAAAATGATTCAATGCAAGAGCATGTGATAAGGTTATGTTTAGTGTTATGGAAATAAATCACAATATGTTGACTTCTAATGGCATTTTTTTATAATGTCGATTAGTTTATTTGTTTGGCATGTCTTTGAATTATAATCATTTTGGGGGGTTTCTTGATAAATATTGATATGCAATTAATCAAAATAATAATGTAATTCAATTTGATTTAATTGACTGACCGCCCTACAATGAAAATTAAATTTTCGTTCAGTGAAAAACTGTTGAAAACAAATTAAAATTAATAAGAAATTAAATTAAACTTTACAATCACCTTTTAAGCCATTTAATAAGTAAGCAAATTTAATCAATGTAAATAAAACAGCAGTACATACACAACTTTTCAAACTTTTGGGGTCAGTAAGTTTTTTTTTTTTTTTTTTTGAATTTTAATGTTTTTTTTCAGCAAGGGTGCATTCATTTGGTTAAAGACTTTTGCATTTTTACAAAGCTTTTTTTTTCAAAAGCTTGCTTTTTT